TTAAAATGCCAGACACGGAGCTCATAGAAGCATTTAAGATCTTTTCTTTGCATTCATAAAAAGGGTTTTTTCTGATTTTTCTAAATTATTTTGTGTTTTAAGAAAAAGTACTAGTATTTTCCTCAAGCTGTAACAGTTGTACCGAGGTTTGAATCACATAGCAGTACATGTTAAATCATTATAAAAGCTTGTGACAGGCAGAAAGGTGAAATGTTCTTGTTGGAGTGGATGATTTTGCAGTATCTGCATCCTAAAGCAAGAAAAAGTAATTTAAAACTACTGCATAAAAATTTCAAGGTACATCTTTTTCATAAGGAAGGTCTATCTAACATAAAGAGCTTTGATACAACTTTGATCTTGTATGAAGAGAGCCCAGTGTGGGCAAGCCCTGAGTGTCAGCTAGCCCCGGCAAACAGCTTTAGCACCAGCAGAAAGGCAGGTGGTGGTGGTCTTCTGACAAAGATTCTTTTTATTTAAATATTGAATTTATTGGGTTTTACAAGCTTGGATCAGAATAGCTACAAAGAAATGCTGAGAGTACTGTAGTGCTGCTAGGATAAATTCCTTTTAAGGATAATATACTCTGGAATAAAAACATTTTTATGTGGAACAACTATATTATGAATTCAGAAGGCTATTGAACAACTTGAATGCTGTAGGCTACTAGTTCTAGCATTGCAACTTTGTTTGGGGAGGTAGGGGGGATACAGGTAAATAAGAAATTCTAGGCATAATTTGGCTTTTGTACTTGTCTTCTTTCACTTACTGCTCTTTGTCTCTGCATTTCTTAAGAGCTGTTTTTTTATGGATCACACAAATCTTTTCTTAGATCAGAAGACTTAATGAAATTATGTATGTCTCCTGGCACTGAGTTGCAACCAAGTTAGCTCAGTTTTCAGTGGTTAATAACACTTCACTGTCACGCACAGTACCTTTTAAAGATTATCCATATTAATATTAGTATTTGAAGCCATGCTTTCAAGTAGGCTTACGTTTCTAACCTAGTGGGATTTTTACTGTGCTGCTTTAAAATACATTTTGTAGTCTAACTTATTTTTCTATGATTGGAAGAAGTAGTTCTTTGAATAATTTCTATTTTTGATTAAGGGCTGGATATGATACATTGGCAGGCATTATTCCTTTTTATTAAAAAAAGTTTAATTTTAAACATAAAGCCATTTAAATACCTTCTTATCTGGAGCAGTTCACACTTCTAGAAATTTAAAATTAATGCAGTGTGTGTGAGATGATGTTGTGATAGAGCAGAGCAAATGACAAACTGGGAACTTGAAGTCCCATCAGCTTATTTCTCTTTGTTGTTTTACGCTGTGGTTACGTGAGAAGAGGAGAATGTTCCAGCTCACTATCACTCTGATATTTCATTGAATGTTTTATTTTTGAAATGTGGTAAAATATACATTATGGAGCAGTTTGTATGCTTAAAGGTATATGATAGTATCGTTCTCAAGGCTGGACAAACAGGCTGAAACTGGTCCAGGATCTTGAACAAGTCCGCCAGTGTGTGACAGTTCATTTGTTGCTAATGTTTATTATTTTGCCTCACCAGCCCTGTGCAGTTTACAGGTAGAGGGTAGGAAATGATGGAGAAAGAAGCTTTGCTGTGCCTGAAATTTCTGGGTACCGTACTTCGGTGCAAACCTTTTTCTTTTGAAGCTGTGTGTATTAATGCATAGCACTTAACCCTTTGAAGGTTATGTAAGGTCTGTGTATGTGTGTTTCTTAGCTGCACCGCAGAGCTGACAACTGCATGTGTCATGGAAGAGAAGCCATTAATTACGTCATCAAGTAGTGTAGTGTCACAAGATCCCTAAAACGTGATCCTCCCTTTCTCAGTCCTGCTCCCAGAAGGAAGATAAAGCAGTGTGAATGTTTGAAGGGTGGAGCTCTGAGGGTGTGGGATGATGAGAGCACTGATGCAAGAATATCAGGTGGTTCCTAAAGCAAGATGTCATTTAAGCATATCCTTCATTTACTCTTGTTCTTTTACCCAGTGTCTAGTAACTAGGAAAACGAGCAATGAAACATCCTGGGACCCCATTTGGATCTTGATCTGCCCTCTTAACATCTCAGGTGAATAGAAGCTGTTCCCAATACCTAGCATCTTTCAGCTAGACACTGATCTTTCTTGAAATGCTGAGGATTAATTGTACTGCAGTAAAGGATACAGTTTGGGATAATACCAAGATGGGGGCTATTAAAAACTTTCTTCTGAAGTGATCCTAAACAGTCTCAATATTTTCCTTTTTCTTCCTTCCCTGGAATTAGACTCCTGTTTAATAAGAGTTCTCTTTACAGTCTTAGAAAGTAAAAATGCAAGAGTAAGGCAGTTAGTTGGGTGTTGGGGTTTTTTTTGGGGGGGGGCAGCGGGGATTGTTGGTTGGGGTTTTTTCTTTCTTCCCCCTTGTGCCTCCCCACCCCCTTCTTTGTGCAATTCACAAAGGTTACCTTAAAGATGAAAAAAGCTACCATGGAGTATTGTTTCTCTTTCACATTACAAAGATAGTGAACTTGTAGTCTGTTTTTGCTTTGAATAAAAATCTTTGCCTATATAAACTGTACAAAAGACAAAATGCTGGTTCTTGGAAATTACAGTTTTCTATTTTGGATTTTATTTGGTATGTGTTCTTCATAAATCTTGTTATACAATCCATTGTAATAAGAGGAAAAATGTATTTCATCTCAGTTTTAGTATAAAAGGTCGATACGCCCATAGTCATGCTTCGGTGTTAGTTTACAAAGAATAAATACTGCTTTAAAAGATTCTAGATCTGCATAAAAATTTTGTTCTTTCTCTTCTGAGCTAGGAGAAGCTATGCTTTAAGGGTTCCTTGATTTCTCTTACAATGAATTGAAAAAATGCTGCATTCAGTGCTCAGGGTAGGAAGATGGATGAGTGACTGTGAGACATAGATCATAAAGTATTCAGACTTTTTAACATGTGGAATATCTTGGAAGATAAAGGAGTTTTTATAATCTTAATTAGGAAAGATACCTTAGTAGTTCAACAAAATTAGAAGGAAAGAAAATATTTGTACATATGCAGTAGCTTTTCCTTTAAATATTAAGTGGAATTACCTGTTCTCTGAGCAGGTAAGGATCTCTTAAATGTGAATACAGAATGTTGTGTAACATCTGTAGCACAGTATTAAAATGAGCTTTCAGTTTATGCTGGGAAGAAATCTGTAGAAAGAGAGAGGGGACAGATGGAGGAGCTGCTATTTCATACATGCAGAATTCCTTTTGGTTTAAATCGGAAATATCTATTGCACAGGTAAACTCTGTGTTATTCTAGCGCTGGACCTTCTTTCTTGTTAAGTCTGTACATACCGGGAATATTTAACGCAGGTATTACTGAAGTACTGTTTGAAAACTACATTTCAAATAAAATGTGGCAAAGTGATTTGAGGGGTTTTGTAAATGGTGCTGTACTTAGGATATACTCTTAATTGTATCTGAAAAAGGCACAGTTTCATTACTTTCAGGGAAATTGCAAAATGGGGACAATGGACTGGGTGTGCTTAATTAAATAAGGAAATATGCAAGTATGTTTTTTATAGCACAAGATCAAATTTCACAAATACTTAATCACACATTTGGCTGAATGATGTAGTGGATGTTCCAATAGAATGATACAGAGGGTGGTATCTGCACAGGGTTTTAATCAAATTTTTCTGTTCATCTTTCAAGGAAGGTGCAACATGAGAGTAAGGTTCTTGATGGCTACAGCTAGTGTTCAGTGGGTTTGACAGGAAGCCACAAGAATCTGTTAAAAGAGACCATGAGTTTCCTGGTCAGAATTTTTTTTTTTTTTTTTTTTTTTAATTCTCAGATAAATTGAAATTTTTATTGTGACTAAAATCTTTTTGAGAGGTACTGAGGTACCTCCACTTTCTTCATTATAATGAATTTGTAAAAGCTTCTATTGGTCCTAACTGGCTGTTCTCTTACCTTGTATACTGAGCCTCCCACAGAGCCTTGCTGTAAGTTGTGTCAGTGAAGGTGGTAGTCTGTTCACAACTCTTGTAGCCTTATCGGTTCACACCTTGGGGACTTAGAGCCAAGAATACTGTTAAGAGATGGACAGAAAGAAATTTTCTGTTGATAAAATTGTGCGTGATAAAGCTGGAGGAGATGAATGATGTTCTCATCTCATATAGTACTCACAAAGCTTATTCCAAATGAGGCAGATGATGTTCCTAATTTTTTTTTTCTGGATGTTCTTTGCTAAGAAGAAAACAGATGGATTTTTTTCTTCTGAATGCCTACATTCGCAAATGCACTTTAATAATATGAACTAGAACAAATGATGCTCAACTCTCCTACTGTTGAGAAATTGAGGGCTCCTTGGAACATAATTTAGCCCTATTTTTATTCTCTGAAAGCTCATTTGTGTGGATATTCATGTCATTTACTGAAATTTAATTTGCAAACAAGATTTACTTTAGCTCTGTTTTGAAGTACTAATGCATACAGAGATCAAAAAACCCAAGAGATTTTGGAGTTATTACTGTTCTCCTATGAGACTGTGAATCCAAAAAAAAAATTACTTCAGTTCAGAAAATTAGAAAATTGCATATTAAGTACATTCAGTCATGCATAAAATTATACTGTTGTGGTTATCAAGCGGTCAGCACTTTAGTTTTCTAAACACATGAATAAGAGAGGCTTTCTTCAGAAAATTCTTGCTAGTTACATCACTACTTTTCTGCCCTACCTCAGAAAGGGAAAATATCCTCTTTCTGTTTATATTGATTATGGTTGGATCTGCTGTTAAGATATAAAAAATTTGAGCTAGGTATTTCTAGAATAAAATGATTAACTGAAATTTCTGCCATAATGCTGGGTGAGGAGGTTCTTATGTTCTTGTATAATTTAATTATTTGTTACTATAATTATTCTATTGTCATGTTTTGCCTGTAAAGCTCTTCAACAGTTATCAGAGAGATTCTTTGGTGTTTTTACTTTTTTCAAATGTCCAGGGCAAAATCTAAACAGCATGCCTCATGGCACAGGAATGAAGACAAATCCTGACCAAAAGAAACAAGCAAATGGAGTAACACTCGCTCCAGAAGACACCTTACCTTTTCTTAAGTGCTACTGCTCAGGACATTGTCCAGATGATGCTATTAATAACACATGCATGTAAGTATTACATACAGGATAGAAGAGGCTCTTTGAAGAGGCTCATTTTTGCTTGTGAGAGCAAACTATCTCTGGGGTACTGACTGAGCTTCTATTGGGTGATTTGACCATAATCGATTAGAAACTCACTGGTTCTGTGGAGAGCTGAGCACTAAAACCCGCGGTTATCTGTACATAAACAATACTGCTTTCACCATACCTTAGAACTGGTCATTTGCAACTGGTCATTTTGCCCCCAGCAACTGCTTTGAAGGACTGAGGTTTAAGTAACCTGTAGCATTTTATAACCAAGTGAGTATTAAATGACCCAAATCTAAACCTTCTGATATGACCACCTGCTTGCTTAGCCTAGTATTTCTTTAGCTAGTAGTCAAAAGGTAATGGTGCCAACATAGCCATTTACTGAGAAGAATTCTTGTTGCGTGTTCATTAGTTATAGAATATGAGGGGAGGGGGGGACCAAAAACGTCTGAACATATAGAGACAGGAGGGTGGTTTTAACTTTGATAGGCATAAGGATCCTAACAGACACATGCGCTGATTATGTCCTTGCTTACGATGTTTTTTCATGTCATGAAATGTCCTTTTTTTTCCTTTTTTCTCTTCATTTGCAGTTCCATGTTTAAGACCCTTCTGTTTTCTTCCTTAAGAATTAATGCAAAGCTATATAATAGAAAACATTATTTGCTACTGCAATTTGAGTCTTCACTCTAACACATAATATTAAGCCTCTCTAAAGCTGTCACTGGCTAGATAGTCAGTTTTTGTGGAACCCAAGGAGGTGGAATAAACACTACTATCTTTTAAAATGTAAACACAGGTAGTATTTTACAAACATAGTTTTGTACCTAGAAAACGTTCAGTTACGATGCAGTATTTCAGCTTTCAGTTTCTTCGGTATTTATTTTTTGCTTTTTATTGCCCTCTAGTGTATGCAATCAGTATAATTTTTTGCCTCTGAACTAATGGCCATATAGATCATTATTCTGATAATAAAGCTGTTAGAGAGTTAATAACACTTATGCAGTGTTCATGTGCAGGGTATTTTATGGCATTATACTTCCCAAATCTGCATTTCTTTCACATTCATATAGATAAAAAATTTTTGGCAAACAAAGATATTTCTGGATTTATTTTCCTTAGTATCTGTAGCACAGAACTACCATTGTGAATTGGTTTGGGATTCCTTAAAATCCTATTGACACTTTCATATAGTATAGAAATCAAAGCATTTGTATAAAGAGAGAATGGGGAATTGAAGTGCCATTTTTTTGGAAAGAATGTTATCTAGTTGTTACTGTCAACTTCAGAAAGCAAGTTTGAGGATTTGTTTGGTTTGCCCTGAAGGCTGAATATTTGAGAGAGCTTATGTGGGAAAAGGCGTAGCTGAGCTTTTGGCCTTGAAGTGGCCTCCTTTCACATGCTGGGGCTTCTCTTTGAGAGTTTATCATTGCAGTTTCAAGAACAGGCACAAGTGATTTTTTTTATTGTTTTTTTTTTTAACCTATAAAGTTGTAATCAGTATCTACCTGTTTATAAAAGTGAATGTTTAGTCAGATCTTTGCTCTTCCACCCCTTCAGTTGTTTCTGAAGAACTCTGTGTGTGTGATTGGATAGAGTAATCTTGAAGGGGGGTGAGGAAATGAAAGGCAGAATATTCAGGAGAAAACATCCCTACAGTGTTCTAGTTGAAAATAGTGTTAGGGTCTTTTGTTCTCAAACTGTATGGTAACCACTGTAATAAAGAAGAATTTTTCTAGATACTGCCATTTTATAATATTCTTAATGGGTTTGTGGTCAGCTAAAGGTGCATATTAAACAACAAACATGTTGGTAAAGCACAACTGATATGTTTATTCCAGAACTAATGGGCATTGCTTTGCTATCATTGAGGAAGATGAACATGGAGAACCCACGCTTGCTTCTGGCTGCATGAAGTATGAAGGTTCAGACTTCCAGTGCAAGGTAAAAAAACAAGTTATTAAAATTTAAGATCTCCATGGAGATTATGTAGGGAA